GATGATGGCAAACTACAGGGCAGCTGTGGCTACAGTGTAGTTTGCCATCATCAGTGTGTGAATGTGAGTGTGAATGGGTGAATGTCTGTTAGTGTAAAGCGCTTTGGGGTCCGGAGGGACTTGAAAAGCGCTCTATAAGTTCAGTACCATTTACCATTTACCATTTATTTTACAGTTAAAATATATGTTTATCAAATAAAGTCTAATGTTACAACTAATCAGGGATCCCTTTAAATCCAGACCACTTTAAAAGAACCCAGGTACATGTAACAAGATGAGTCCTGGATTAGGATTTCAGGTCTTGTTTGTCCCACAACCAGTCTAAAAACTAAAACCTGTTAAAAAGTTCAACAGTTTTAAAATAATTCATCTTCTGAGTGACTTTGACCTGATGTTCTAACTCACCACTTTCAGCTCTGGTACCGTTCGGCTCAGGGTCCACTCCTGACTGTTCACAAAGGCATCTGAAAGAGACAGAACCAGAACCAGAACCACCTGTTACTGAGATGACAGGAACACGTGATGTCTTCAGGTCCGGTCAGGGACAAAGAACCTTTAGATTCAACATTCAATCAGCTGACTGTCGCCAAGCAACAACACTCTAATAATCAGACACTCAACTTWTAACAATCACCTTATCAACTAGCAGTCACCTAGCAACAACACCCTTACAGTCAGACAACAGTTAMATTTGACTGTCAGTCAGCTAATGATCACCTAGCAACAAGACCCTCAGAATCAGTCGACAGTKACCTAGTGCAAAAGACAGCTACAGTCAGCTAAGGGTTGCCTAGCAACAAGATTCACAGAATCAGCTGACAGTTCCCTAGCAACAAGACCCTCCCTGCTGTTACCATGTGAGCAGCCTCATGTGAGCGACTGTTGCTGCTGCAGTAACAGAACTACAGAGGAGGCAGAGGCTCGTTAATGCAGGAGATGACTGAACGCTGGCTGAAGGAAACGAGGACGGAACAACCACAGCAGAAAACACMCCATTACACAGTCTGAAGTCTAGCAACAACTTTAACAACTCAGTCAGAATGATGTCATAGCGACAAGATAACATGAGGTTCTTTTCAAAATAAGAGTTAAAAACATCCCAACTTCCTGCTGCATGTTGGAGCAGAAAGGCTCATGAAGTGTAAGACGCTGAGAGGCAGCAGACTGTGAAACATGTCAGGCTCAGAGAGAAGTGGGTCAGCAGGTCGGATCCACTTAGAGCCTTCAGASAGGTTTTATTAATTCATCAGTAACAATCTGTGACCACCTTGACAACGCCAAGTGATAAAAGCGTCTGTCAATCTGACATCTAGGCTACGTTCACACTGCAGGTCTTAATGCTCAGTTCCG